CATACATACATACATACATACTTTATTTATCCCGAGGGAAATTCAAGCATCCAGTAGCATACAAAATACAAAACATACATTAAACATACAGCTGCCGTTGTTTTTCGGTACTACACACACACCTTAAAATAATTTAGTCAATCTCAAATTCTTAGTTATGCTCTCTGCTCACCTTCCTTTTGATGCACCGATTCGGGACTGCTCATAGATGGTTTCAGCTTGTTATGGTTACAGAAATGATAACTTCAATATTTTTCAGCCTGTATTAATACAGCACACATACAAATGTAAGCTTCATTTTTTACTCCCCCACTCTCAGACAAACAGATTCATAATAATTACATTCATTCTAATGTGCTGTGATCTGTTTGCTAATGGACTCACCCTGTCTTACTAACATCACTTCAGCAGTAAAAGAATGTAGTCGTAGCGTGTGTGCCCAGATGTGACTATATGGTGAGTGTGAATGCTCACTTAACTTTCGGTTTAAGACAAAATATTCCAGCTAACGTTTGTAAAGTGTCAGATCTCGTCCCGCCAGCCTTCCTGCTTGTAATGCGGTAATGACAGAGGGTTGGGGCTTAACATGGTGTCAAATGCAGCCTGTGTCTGCAAATCCAGCCAAACGTTTTTAATCTGTCAAAACATCTTTGGCTGTCGAGAAATGTTTTCTTTGTGTTAGGTGTGGTTGCTGAGAGAGGCAAAGTTTTCAGCGTGAGGCTCAGGTTCTGAAGATCACCACAGGCCATTTCTTTCGCTCTTTCCCTCTTTCTTTTGTAAGCCTTTTTAAAGTCTTCCTGCTTTGTTTGAGTCATTGCTGTGCTTTCTTTATGTATTTCTGTCTTTCTATGCAAAAATACAAAACACAATTAAGAAACTAAATCACCAATATGAATGACAAACTAAATGTAGTATAAAGTATAAACAAAATGTAAAGTAAATGTGTTTCGCTTTTCAAACCAATGTACAGTGTACACGTACACACAACAAATAATAAAAAACACAGATACATGTAGAGAATCTGTTTTTCATACATTCATTAGTTGCAATGCATTGAGCTCTCCAGACCACCAAATATTAAAATCTGTTTTCTTCTATAAACACGTAAAAATAATGTGTGACTGCCAAAATCTACCAGATTTGTCACAGGATATATTTTCTTTTTCACACATCGACTGGAAACCTAATCACACACAGGGCTTGTGGCATGCAAATGTGGAGAGATTATGTGCCACATAGCACACCTCAGGAGCAGTTAGGGGTTCAGTGCCTTGCTCAGGGGCTGGCAGAAGTTCAGCATAACACTGCTACCTGGTTACCTTTGCTACAGACTATTTAAATTTAAACATCAATCTGAAACTTGTTCCACTTTGGAAATTATTTGACTTCATACTGCTCATCTTTCTATCTTTTAAAAGATCTGACATCAGTCATCAAATTCGACTAGTTTCTAATGTTGCACATTCAAGACCTTTTTCAAATTGAATTGTAGTAAATGGTACCTAATAAGATCAACAGCAAACTCAAAGTTTTGTGCAATGTAATCAACAATTAACATGTTCTTACGTCCAGAAGTCATAGACGTTGCTAACAGATGCAAAGGAATAATAATAAAAGCATTTAAAATGTTTCTCTGATACGGTCATCAGCAGTCCGACTGCACACAGTTAAAATGCTGAGAAAGTCCCTGCATCTTGTCCCATTTTTCATCTGAAACCAATTTCTGATTGAATATCTATGAATGTCTTTCTGGCAGCACAGTTTAATCTCATTCTCATGAATTCTAATCATTTCACCTAAACTCATTTTCGATTGCCCCATCACCCGATGCGCTTTTGATGAAGAATCCATTTTTCGTGTGTGATTGAAACCAAGTGAGGCCAAGGGGTTTAAGCTCTTCCAATCACCACCAATATGTTGAATGCTTCTGTAGCTGCTGAATTTAATTTCTACAGCTTAGAACCTGATTTCTTTTAAAGCACTGATACCTCTGTATAAGGTAAAGGTAAATTGGGTGAATTCATCAGGAATCAGCACTGTGCTTTGGGGGCAAACGCCATCATTGTTTGGTTTATCTGAGAGGTGTGAGTTGCATTGACTGTAATGTTGTTTTTTACCTGTTGTCTATAATACATCACTTGCACTTGTAGGTCAAAGTAAGATTGACCAGAAGAACCTAGTTAGTAGTGAGTCATCTTGGACAACAACATCTTGGACAGAATATCAGTAGATATTTTACAGTGCAGTACGTATACATATAGTGGTATCAGCTCATACAGATAGTTTGGGTTCTATGAGTATTAAAATGGAAGTAACTGGACTTGACATTTTGTGTTTACTTCTTTCGTCTGACATTGTTTTTATTTGTTAGTTGATTTATTTCTGTTTCTGTTCCAATCTTAACACTGTCTTGTCGTTCTCTCTCCTTCTGTTTCTCTTGTAGATGAGTATGGAGCTGAAGGTTTCTCAGGCCAAGGTTTCTCCCAGGGGGGTTCCTTCAGAGGCGGGGCGCCTTCTGAGTCCTTTAGGGACCAGGACCAGAGCTTGGGTCCGGGTTCCGCCCCAGGGATTGGATTTACTCCTAGCCCAGGATCAGGGCCATCGGGTCCCCCCACCACCAACTTCAACAACATCCACATCCCACCAGGGGCCCACGCACCAGCCAACACTCCAGCCGAGCTGCCTCCCCCCTCAGGTACGAAGTGGACAGACTTAGTTTTATATCCATATGATGTTTTAGCCACACTAGCTCTAGGACTCTTTGGGTGACAGTATGGTCCAAATGAAAATCAGTTTAACTATTGGATGGATTGCCATGAGACTTGCTGCAGACTTCCATTTTCCTCTCAGGATGAATTGTAATAACTTTAGTAATCCTCTGACTTCATCTAGCAAAACAAGTAGTCTACACTGAGTCCAGTCAAATTTTTGTCAAAGGAATCAGGACCATGCCAACTTCCGGGCTGCAAAAAAAACACTTAATTAATTTGAAACAGGTAATTATACTTCAAAAGTAACCCACGTGTTTGAATTTTGAATAAAAAGTGACAGAGCGCACTGGCTGGTGTCGATATTTTTTAACAGATTACAACAACAAAAAATGTTAACAAAAAGAACTTGTGATGAGAGGATTGGTGGATTTGTGGATATGGATGCAACCGAGTTACCAAGACTTAAGGAACAGGTTTCATTTTTTCAGGAAGACAGATGAAAGGAATGCCTACAGTAACACAGTAACTGACGCTGATTGGTTGACAACAGCAATGCTGTGGTTCAAAGTTTGCCTAATTGGATGGACTTGAGCAATGCTTCAGTAAAGGGAGCCAAGCAGGTCCGAGTCCAGCTGTGATGTATTTACTGGACTTTAACTGAAACTCCCTGGAAAGGGTGTGTCTGTGATAACTATTAGTCACAATACTGCTGCATCAAACCTGGTGATGCAGTATAGTGGTGATTACATAGCCGTCATTACTGGAACGGAGATTCCAACGTCCCATTATTCTCTCATTAATTGTCTTTCATTTTTTACTCGCCATCCCTCCTTATCATCTGTCACGGAATCCCTCCTTCTTACTAATTTCCCCAGATATCGCTGAGTACGTGACAGCCTTACAATATTCTGGCACCGCGTTCGATAACACACCTCCCTGAGAGACTCCCTAACACACTCTTCAACAAGTGCTGTGTGTGTTAAGACGAGGGAAATGCTCCAAAGTGAGGACATTAGGATCTTATCTGTGGTCAGATTTTACTCCTACATTGGAGTTTGTGTAAAGTTCAGCAATAATTGTAATTATTTGGAGGCCGTCATGAAGATATTGGTATAAGAAGTGTGTGTCTGCGCACACAAGAAGACTTAATTGTACCCTTGAGTGCAAAGATAAAGGCTTACATAACTCACTTTCTCAAGGCACTGTTGCAAGTTGCAAGTGTGTGTGTGCGGGTGAGAGGAAGTTTACTTTTTGTTTCCCATGTTGAGGGACGGCGCACCAGACAAAGTGTACACACCAGACAGTCTACACACATACACAGTCACACACACACACACACACACACACACACAAATCAAGTCATTTAAGGTGATAGATTGCACAAGAGTCTGCACAAAGAGCTGGCAACAGTAAACACAAACACTTGTTCCTGCCGTTAGGAAGAAGTGATTGAATGAAAAGAGCGACAGAAGTTGACTTTGGTGCTCGCCCAGTCACTGACGGACAAGCTATGTGTGTTCACCTCCTGATAGTGAGCGGCTGTTATTGATCACAGTGATATCTGCTGGCTACAGTGTGTGGGAAACAGAAACAGGATTTGTGTCTGATGTGGTTGATTTCAATTTAAACTTTTTAAGTTACTCTCTTTTTAAAATCTGGGAATTGATTGGTTTGTACTTTGAATAATAAATAATGCGTGTTAATATAAAAAACCTTTTTGTTTTACATATTCTGAGGGATTTCCATTTCTTTCTTTGATTTTCTGGAAATTATTCCAAGGTGTCTCACTGGAAGAGAACAGTAAACAGAGCAGTAAGCTACAAGAAAAGTGTCTTCTTGGGACAAAAAATAAACTGTTTTGGTTGTCCTCATATGAACTGAAAGCATTTCACAGGTGAAGCATCTTCCAGCAGTCTGTTCAACTGACGCAACAATATTAGAAATTATTATTGTCTTTGGTGGTTTTAAATGACCAGAAAATCCTCCCGCAAGTGACAGAAACAAAAACCTAGTTTTGCTGTTTGTACAAGGTCAGTGTTTGGTCATTTTAAAGTTCAAAAATTAAAATAGAAATACAAGACATTTTTCAAACAGGGATGAGTGAAATTTCAAACCATGGTTTTGATTTTCATCTTTTATTTCGTATTAAAAAAAATAAACTAGAAGAAAATAAATGAAAAAAGATTTTTGATTTGGTTGGCAGTAAAAGCCTGGCTCTAAAAATCAGGACTTACAAAGAAGGATTATTAAAAAAACACTTGAATAAATAACCACTAGAATTAATAGGTAAAAATGCAGACAAAAACAAGAAAAATTAAATGTTAGTACAACTTGTTCATCTGAATGACAAAGTTATTTTTATAGCGCTTTGTTCCACATCTTGGGACTACAAACCCCTGAAATTCACAGTGCAAAGGGTGGGAGTCGTCATTGAAAAAAAAAATTGAAGATATGAGTCCTGTCATCCGTAGAAACCTCACTGTGATTAAATATAGAAAAAAAAGGGAACGTCAGTGTAGTCAAGTGTAAAAGCGCTTTGAGTGGT